CAGGGAATTGCACTGTGTAACTTGAAAATCAAACATTTTATATCAAGCTAGCTGCCTCCCAGAGTACCTCTTCATCAGTTTACAGTTGGGTTAGGCAATCACATGTCACAGAGGGCTGGCAGGCTTTTCTTCTCATCCAACACGGCACTAGATGAGTGTGTTGATTTGCACACCTTCAACCACGGAGAGGGGAATGAATCAGTGAAATAACCTGCTGTAGTTGTTGGCACGAATAAAAAATTGCAGAGTGATGGCCCTTCATGGCATAATTTCCTGTCCCTGCAGTGTGGTTGTTTACTCTCTAGATGTGCCATCAGCGGCGATGTGCTGTATAAAACTGCCTTGTTTAGGTGTAAAGAGAATTTTTCCTTGGTAAACAGTTTTTAAATGATTCATAAGAAAAAGATCATTTGAACATGTTTTTAGAATTTTTGTAAAACTTAATCTCATTTACAGAAGTATTCCGACTTTTTGCGGTGACTTCAGATTGTGGCCATGCGCTCAGCTGCTCAGCATAGTACGCAGTACAAAGTACAAACACATTTTAAATAAAAATCAGTGCTATGTTTGTGGTTCATGTGACATTTGGATGTGTATGTTCCTCCTGCAGAAACGTACATCACACTTATGCAGTACCAAACTACTGAAATAAAGTTTGTGTGGAGCACACATGTTATCTAATGGGAAAACACAAGCAATGTCACACACATACTAATGTGCTACGTAGGACTAAGATACTAGAATGATGGCTTGTCTGTATGTGTAATAACAGATTCCCACATTGCCATAATATGTTATATGGTTCATAGGTGCAGCAAAAGAAACGGATGTAAAAAAAAAAATCTGAGTAACTGCAGTTACTTCTCACTGTATCAGGAGTGAAATTAGAGCTGGAGAGGAGAAAGTGATGAAAGGAAAAAAGAGAAATTGGAAGAAAAGGGGTTTGAACACCTTACCCCACAAGGCAGAGCTAGCGATTGTAAAGATAGTGTATATTTCAGGCTTCATGCTGCTTTTTGTGTGTGTGTGCTAAAAAGCTACAGACATAAGGCAGCTGAGACATTAATCCTTTTGTGTTCCTGGCTTTTAACTGTCTGGCAATGTAATTATGCTGAGAGAAGTGAGAAAGATGGTGAGCGAAGGATAAGATGAGAGAGAAAATAGAAGAGTAAGGACTTGCAGAGAGCAAGTCACACACATTCTGCAGTACCTATCTCCAGGATCTGCAGTCATTAATGCAATATGTTTGACATCAAGGTGATTAATCCAGCTTAGTATCTAAAGGATTCAATCGAGTATCTAAAATGCAGTGCTGTATTCTTTACTGTAGGCATACTGAAGGAAGTTTTTTACTTTATGGACAATGCTTCTTTGTTGTATAGTAGACACATTCCCTTTTCAGTTTCTTTTGCAGCCAGTCATTTTTATGTTTGGTCACTCAGGTCAGTTGGCTCACGTTACAGAGCTAAATTTGTTATTCACTTATTATATCAACATCAACTTTGTAAATATGATTGGGAAACTTTGATTTTTTTTTTTCCAGTTCCAGTTTATCTGCCTTGGCACCTAATATGGAACTGCCCAAGCCCCCCAGCTGGGCTGTGAAGCAGATCTGGAATAGCAGCCAGACCATGTTACTGCTACGTTTGTGGTGTATGCACCACTGAACAACTTTCATAGATGCCATCTAGCAATGCTGTATCCAGTTCTCCATTAATATGTCCATGGAACTGCCTGAAAACAAAACAAACATGGTTGGCCAGAGACATTGGCCAGAACTACTGTTCAGTTTATATGATGCAACCAACCATGTCATCATAAAACTGTCAGATAATTGTAGTTTTTATGCTAAGCTAACTAGTTCCTAGCAGTAGCTTCTTATTTTGTGTAAAGACATGAGACTGGTATCCATTTTATTCTGTCTCTGCTAGAAAGTGAAATGTTTTTCCCTAAATGTTAGACTTGGTGATGATTAATATACTTCATCTATAACACTGCTTTGCATGGATGATACTGTAGAAATGCAAACATATGAACACGTTACATCCACTTCTCCTCTTTTACAAAACTTGCATAGTTGCACATTTGTAAAGTATCTTTTCTCTGATCTGTTTCCTTCTACCACTACCATTTTCCTGTCTCCAGCCTAGCCTTTCTTTCTTTCTCTTCCTTTCCCCCTCCCTCTTCCTCATTGTTCATGTTTCATTCTCACTCTCTCCCTTCTCTGAACAACCCAAAATAATCACCCAAAAGCTGAATGCACCATTAAATTTATAACTCTTTGCACTCAGATAGCAATGAATCACTGAATACACATTATATAAAGAGGACTTCATTCTTCTTTCTTCCGAGTTTACATAAAACTGGCAAGACGAAGTATAATTTCTATTAATTCTAATAGTGACTGTGAGATAAGATGACAATTTAATGATCCAAAATTGGTGAAACATGAGGAAACAGGGAAAAATGGGTCACAGCAACAGCGAGAAATAACATATTACGGCAAAGAAAATGGAATGCGAATACTGTATGAATTGAGTAATGGGGATTAGATCAGTATTAAGCTGACACTGCTACTGAAGTTAGTTTACTGTTAGTTTAATCTTATGTACATGTAGAGAAACACTGAGACATGAGATTTGTGATGTACTGCAAGCCATAGGTATTACTTGGATGACAAACCCAGATATTTCATTTTTCTCCCTGCTGCTTCAGCTGAATTGTCAGCAGAAGGATTTGATGCAATGCTTTAAGTAAAAAATTTCTACTGTGCTCTAACGTGTCCTAAATTGAAGAATTTGACTGATCAACAGGCAAACAACAGCTTAACTTTAAAAAGATCACCCAGTAAGAGGTACTACTGCATTGGCCATGGTAATTTGACAGGACAGAAGTGGCTTAGTGGTTTGTTCTGAGCAACACTACTGATGGGGCTCGAAGCGAAGCTGGTCAGTCGATCCATCCACCACTTTGGGTAAGAGTGAAATAACTTGACGAATACTGGACAGATTGCTTTGACTTTCTGAACAAATGTTCTTGATCCTTAGAGGATGATGAATCCTAAACTTTGATTCCTTAACTTGTCATCTAGCATCAGGTCGAACTGTTTTCCAACACTTTGGTTAATGGAGTGCAAAACGAATTCCCTCACTTAGCGCTCACTGAATGCAGCCCAGACACAGGCTCAGGGGCCCAAGTGCTGATGGAGCCCCCTGGTCCAAAGCTTCTCTTTGAAGTGATTGTTCACATTTCTTGCTGGAAAACCAAACAACTAAAAAGGGATACAAAATAATCACACAGACCTGCAAAATTATCACAAAACGAGTCCCCCCTGATTTAGTGGCAAATGTTAGAAATAATTGCTTCACATCTGTTAGCCGCTGACAGACTATGAGAGTCAAACTGCAAAGTAAACACTTGTCTCTCATTCCTCTGCTCTGGTCTATTTTAACACTTATCAGATTGCTGATTGGAGAGGATGAATGCATAGGGTGAAGGAAAAACCACCTAACAATTTGTCACTTTCTTACTGCCTTATTTTATTAGTTGAAAGGGCCGATGTGGAGTCAGAGTTTGACTTTGGTCCACAGATACAGAAAAATGAAAGACATGCCACAAAGGAAGACGGTCTCTGCTACTTCTTTCCTGGTGAAAATTGAAACCACTGTCACATTAACTGTGGAAAAGTTTAACAACTGCTACCAGTGGAAAGTAACTTTAATTCCTCTAAATGGGTTACAAAGGGGGGGGGGGGGACAAAAAGGAAGAAGAGAGCCAGCACTGGGAGAATATGAAACAGATCCCTAAGAAAGGAGAAGGAAGGAGGAGAGAGAGACAGTTTTGCATGTAATTATAACCTGCATTTTAAATGTATAATGCAGTGTATGTATGGCACTGGGTTACAGTACAAGGTCCAAAGGACAAAGCTAATACAACAGATTTAACAAAGGTTCTGACTGAAACTGTAAGCTGGGAAATGTCATTCATAATTGTCCTTCTGAGTAAGTCCTCTTTGTCTCACCCACTTAAATGCTGTATCTTTATTCAGGAAAAAACATGTCATAAATGTTATAAAGACGTTGAGTTTTACCACTAGTATACACTTCTTTCAGAACTTGATTTAAAGGGGGAGGGTGCTTTTATTGTATTTAAAAGAGGGATTTCATTATGGCTTATTTAAACCATTTAGTCCTCTTATGGCTTGTGCGCCTGTGTACATGTGGTATTTTTGTGTGTCTGTACTTAGGCTACAGACCCGGATCTGGGGGCAAGTGGTGAGGTTCATTATCAACTTGTCAACCACCAGAAGCTGTTTTCCATCAATGCCACTGGAGCCATCACAACTGCAGTGCCGCTGGACAGAGAGGTCAGAGGAAGTGATAGACTTTCTCAAATTTCACATGCATGGCTGTAGTTGCTGAATGCAACACAAAAAAGAAATAAAAATGACAGCA